CTTTGTATATATATATATATATATATATATATATATATATATATATGAATGAGAGACCGTGATTTGAAAGAGACAATATGTCATTTTAATTTTTATTGGGTTAAAAAATTGATCTCCAAAGAGATTCAGGCGATGCCAGATAGGAAAAATAGAGGTTATTTGCTTTCAAGTAATGTTTTTCATCTTTGGGTCTAAAGATATAGAGAAGTTAAAAATAGGGGTAAGGAGATATTTTCTTTTTAAAAAAACTAGCTTGCCGATTGAAGTGGCCACTGGACCGATCCAGATCTGCTGAATTGGTGCAATCTTGATCGTTGAAATCAAGGCAAAAAAGATAAAAAATAGAAAGCAAAGAGAGAGAATGAAAAAAAAAAAAAAAACTAAACAAAGTTGCATAAAAGTCGTATTTTCTATATTTCTTCGATGATTTGGAGTTTAAATCATTAAAAGAAATGTTCGAAGTGAGGCAAATTAGAGAGAAACGAGTTCAAATTCTAATTCTGTCTCGCAATCAACTTCCTTCAAATCGGATCGGCAACTTTTCAAATCCTGCTTTTGGTCCATTTGGTCAATTATAGCAGCGAGACCAAGTTGATTATCAATGCCCAACCAGTGGCTTGGACAGATACACGGCGATGGTACCTGCAAATCGGCTACTTCCTTTTGGGAACCACTCTCCACTATTCGATCAGTAGGTTGGACAGTGATGGTATAGGTTAAACAGTGATCCCTACCCCTACGGGACTCACTATCTCCATCACCATCTAACCCATCAAACCATTGACAACGATGATAACCTAAGGTCATGTTATTATTATTAGCATAGGGATCATATGATATGGTTGCAAAAATATAGTACGGTCCATATGGTCCTAATGTATGTCTATGAGAGTATAGGAAAAATTGGCTGGTGCAAATTTTAACCGCCCAAAACTAGCCGGTACTAGTTTTGGTGAACAGGTCAAGTATTTTTAAAAATAAAAAATAAATTTTTTTTATAAAATATTAAAAAATAAGAGATTTTGTTTGTAATGCATTTTTTAATGTTTTTCATCATTTTGAAGAAGATTGGAAATTGTTTTGGCTATTAGTACTTATTTTTATATTTTTTTTCATTTTTTAAAATTTGTAAAAATACCCCTAAAGCACAAATTGATTATTTAAATCTAATTTTTCCATTAATTTTGAACTTCATTTGGAAGTGCTTTGTTTAATAATGTCTTAAATATAGTTTACATATTTTATTAGATTTTTTTTATTTTTTTTAGCACTTTTTTTACCACCACATATTTGTCTGATTAGGCCGATTGAATTGGCCGATTTACTGGTTAAACTGATTGCACCGCTTCCGACCTTATGTCCGATTAACCGTCCCGGTTCGATTTTTCCTACATTAGTCTTTGACCTCGTAGAACATATAAAACATGGTCTCGTTCCAAAATGAGAATACATTGTGATCCATATTAAAGATAATGACCATGAGACCCACTCCCTGCATTACCGTCTAATCCGATGGTGATGACCTGTAGGACATGTTGTTGCCTACTGTATGTATCATATTATTTAAAGAGAAATCTATCGAAATACATTAAGATATGAACCATTTAATATCGTGTATTTATTTCTTTCGATTGAATTTTAAAATACCCGTCAAAACACAGTTGATCATGACATGGAATAGTTACAAAAGAGTAAAATGTTATATACTTCATAAGTTAGAAGGATTTTGATAATTTTCTCTTATTTAAAGTCATTTGTGGAGAACTGTGAATTTCAAACATTTTTTATTACTTATGTTATAAAGAAACAAATTTTTGTTATAGAACTGTTTTGGCTGAATAGGATTTATTTTGCAGAGTTATGAAAGGAATTCGAGAGGATTGGAGATATTTTGGAAGAGCTGGTTACCAGGAGCAGGTGTAAGCATGAAGGGCACCGTCTTCTTTTGCCATGGATATGGAGATACCTGTACTTTCTTTTTTGAAGGTGAGAAAAGGCCCTTTTCAATTATAGAAGACTTTATATAGAGCCGAGACTCTAAACAATCAAATTAGAGCCTATTTCAAAATTTTCACTAGAAGTGGTTGTTTTGATGCTCAAATATCCTCAAATTGATCATCTCAATATCAAGATCCATGGACATAAGAAACAAATGGATTTCAAGTATTGAAAACATTGTATTTTGTAACATATTTTGGACTGTCAATTTTGAAAATTTTCAAGTTGTCATAGACGTGTCAATCTACACTATTTTTGAAGCTTTAATGTTCCACTGCACCATCTAAGTGGCGAACAAGCCCAAAAACACATAGTTAAGGGGTTTTTTTTAGGGTTATGTTAGGGTGCTCACACGATGAAGTAATTTATCGGTATTTTTGGTCATTAGGAGTGTGGGACATTATCCACATGGGGTGTGACATTATCTACATGTGGGTGATGTCACACTAGTGGCATTTAATGCTCTATATGAATGATTTCACACCCCATGTGGATGACGTCACACCCCTCCTAATGACCAAAAATACCTTTAGTAAAAAAAAAAATTCATATACAAAATAAGGGTATAGAAGTGTCCAGATTTGTTGAGTACAATGATACGTTTCTGTCCCATTCAATTTCAAAATGATGCTTATTAATAGGAAAAGTGCTCGGGCTTAATTTGTTAGTGCTTGACGACTAGGCTCAATTCCTACCAAGGGTAGGGGCCCTCTCCCCACTGACTCACCCAAAAAAAAATGATGCTTACTAATCTACAAGTGGCATGATGCTCACAAGCGCTTCTCGTGTGAGAAAACACCCACTCGACCACACTAGTCATTCACGATTATGCACTGGGTTTTTATGCGTGGGGGATTGTATACTGCAAAACTCAAGCTTTTAGTACAAGGAGATTATAATCATGTTGGAAGATGTCAAATGTAACTCCTTTGAGCATGCCACAAAGTTTAAGAAATTTTTTTATAATTAACAACACTGTAACCACCTAATTTCAAGTCTAATAGCTAAAGGATGTTATAACCTTGTAACCACCTAATTTCAAGTCTAATAGCTAAAGGATGTTATAACCTTGTACTGAACTAAATGATCTCGTTGCATAAATCTCTTATATACAAATAGTAATTTGCATATCATAATTTTCACTGTCACGCAAGAATGTGCTTAGGGCTAGTGATAAGGGTGGTGAGTCACTATAAGATGACGTCTTGAGTTCCATTCCTACTACAGATAAGAGACCGTATCCCCACTAAACTACCCTCAAAAATAAGAAAAAAAAAATTTACCACGATAGATTTTTAACACCCTTAGATATTTTCGCTAGAGCCTTATCTCCCCAGCATTTAGTTTTATATGGGCAAATAAGTTACACAGGTTTTCTAAACTATTTGAGTAGTAGTACTGCACAAGAGAACAAATCTTTTCATCCTTGTCATGCATTCGAATATATTGTTGTAGTTTATCTCTTTCAGTAATCTAGTTTTTGGACAAGCGCCGTAATGATGTGTATCAAAGATTGCTTTCTAAGAAATCCGAAAGTATTACTTTCTAAATGTGCAAACTATAAAATGTTCAGCACTTCAGCTAGAAGTGATTTCTCCCAGAGGAAATTTTCCAAGAAGTCCGAATGTCTAACTGCAAAAGAATACTATTTGTGTTTTCCTTCGACCATTGGGCCCTAAAATAAATTCTAACAAAAAGAAAAATGAAAAAGGAACCATTTTTTCACTTCTACCACTTTTTTCTCCCCATATAAAACTTACAAACTTGGTTCTCATATATTTTTATAAGCCTTATCCCAAATATTAAAGGTCGGCTACATGAATCTTGTTCCTCTATTCTTAGGATCTATGGCAAAGTTTTATCTTGGCTACCTATCTAACGCAACCACCTCTTTTACCGGGGCTTCGGACGGGTAAAGTGAAAGTTTAAAGTCCTCATCGGGCTTGGGATAAGGCTTGGATGATGATGATAGTTCGCATACATGGTGTGAGATACTTTTTGCAATACTAATTTACAATTTTGATTTGCAGGAATTGCGAAGTGTATTGCAGAAGCCGGATACGGAGTTTTTGCAATGGATTATCCGGCTTTTGGCCTCTCTGAAGGGCTGCATGGTTACATCCCAAGCTTTGATAACATTGTAGATGATGTGATTGAGCATTACTCTAAAATCAAAAGTAAATTGAAACTTAATGCTTCTCATTTTCTTCTCCTTCTATACAACCAACCCCAAAAGTTGGGATAAGGCTCGGATGATGATAATATACAGAGAGAAGTAATTAACTTGAAACTTTTTATTGGTCTTTAGGGAGGCCGGATGTAAAGGATTTGCCTCATTTTATTTTTGGGCAGTCGATGGGAGGGGCGGTGGCTCTAAATGTCAGTCTCAAACAACCTCAAACATGGGATGGAGTCATTCTGGTGGCTCCCATGTGTAAGGTAAGGTGTTATTCCTAATCAAATGGATGGATGCCTTTATACAATGGCAACTAGAAATATATAAAGAGAAGAAAGCTAAAACTAGAACCGTACAAAGAAAAATAAAACAAGAACAATATAAAGAGAAGAAAACTAAAGGTTAGGCTGCCTTCCTTCTCGACCATTAGGTAAGTATAATATTTCATCTTGGCGTTTTTTGTCATGCTGATCATACCAAACATGGTAGGGCAATTGGACTTGCAAATGGTGAATTCGGGTTTTCAGATTTTAACATACAAATGTGAGGATGTTCGAAACGTAGGGATGTGCACGGACACACGCACAAACTGCGTGTACGTGCACACATCCACAAAGAGAGAGTGAGGTGTTTCTCATTGGAGCTCGTAAGTGTTTGATTCTATATATTTTGTATGGTAAAGATAATGATTTCAAACAAACAAGATTGCAGAGGATGTCACGCCACCTGGTGTTGTATTAGCAATCTTGAACCTCATGTCAAAAGTTCTGCCTGAAGCTAAGTTATTTCCACAAAAGGATCTTGCAGAATTGGCTTTCAGAGACCTTGGAAAGCGAAAAATTGTAAGTAATTCTTACATTCCTCTATTCTTTTGCTAAACATTGGATAAAATATTTAGCTTCATGTCTTTAGTTTCTTTATAATGCTGCCGACTATACCATCATTTTTACTGTCACTACAACAGCAACTATAATAACATGATTCATCTCCTGGAGATTGAATAGGAAAGGCAGCAGTAGCAAAAGCAATTATTACAACTATCAGTTGCAATAGAGGTAATAAAAATAAAAAAAAGCCGACAATCGGAATACACTACAGGGAATAGTAGTACTAGCAGCAATGGTAGTAACATCTACAATAATAACTACAGTGTCATTACTAGTACCAGTAGGAGTTCATTATAGCGTATGACATAAGTGGATACGGGCCACCATTACTTACATATTGTACTAGTTTCCTAATTACATATTCTGGTTGGGCAAAGAAAATCTGCAAACTTTCCTGAAAGATAAATATAACAATGAGAACGTTGATGACACTCTATGAATGTAGTTCTTGACACTAATGTGTTGTTGTCAACATTATGGAACCATTAAACTCATTCAAGAGTTTGCATGTTGGTCAGGCAGAGTATAATGTTATCTCATACAAGGATCAGATGCGATTGAAAACTGCAGTGGAGCTACTCAAGACCACCAAAGGGATTGAATCACAAGTGGATAAGGTAACAACTGATGAGTTCGCAAAAGAATCCTTGTTTTTCAGCTTTCTTGGCAACTTAAAATGAATCAAAGTAAAATATTTGAACCCTCATTACTCATTGGGAATCCATATGCTTGTAAAGTTAGGTGTATTTTTTTTTTGGAAAATATCTCCATATCCCCTTTTTAAGTTTTATATCTCAGTACACCCAAAGTTTCAACACATATCTTAGGTCATAAAAATTCTAAGTTTTATATCTTTTAACCCCTTAAGCCAACTTGATCCCCTTTAAACCTATTTTTCTTCCCCAAACATATATGAGAAAGACATATATCATTTCTAAACACCATCTTTTCTTTCTTCATGTGATTTTCCCTTAAATCTCTCTCTCTTTATCTATTTTCTTGCTCTCCCCTCCCTGTGTCTCTCACTCTAACTCTTCCCTGTTAGAGAGACAAAGAGGGTGAATGTTAGAGAGAGAAATTTGGGGGGAATATATCACGTAAAGAGATGAAGGGTTTAGAATGAGCATGTCTTTTTTATATTTGTTAGGGCTAAAAAAATAGTTAAAAGTGGGTAAAGTTAGTTAGGGGGTTAGGAGATATATTTTGAATATTTGGGTCTATTGAGATATGAAAACCAAAAATAAGGGTACGATATTTTCCTTTTTTTATTTTTTATTTTTTACAAAAACAAGTGACATGATATATTTATTATCATCGTGAATGAATACAGGTTTCAGCTCCATTGTTGGTTCTTCATGGAGCTGCAGATAAAGTTACTGATCCTAATGTAAGCAAGTTCCTATATGAGAGGTCGAGAAGCAAGGACAAAACCCTAAAATTATATGATGACAGTTATCATTGCATTCTTGAAGGGGAGCCCGATGAGAGAATATTTGAAGTCATTAATGATATGATCTCATGGCTTGATTCACATTGTGTTTCCAAGGTTTGAGCAGAGTTATGTTTTAAAATTTTTGGACTATGGAGGTGTTTAGGCACATCACTGACTCGGGAATAATCCGAGAGGATCGATTATTCAGTAAACAGTCGCATCGCAACGATGGGGCCTTCCCTGTTGTGCGATATAGGCACATGTGCTTTGAGAAATGGGGGTTCTTCGTAAAACTTGAATGAGTCACCCCGTAACTATTAGGAGCCTACAAAACAATTGAATATGAACAGTTCTGGCGTATTTGCAGCAATGGATTTGTGATGTTTGTCTCAAAAATTGGAGCAAAATCAGAAATTTAAGTTTTACTCCAATGTACGATAATTGTTCATATGATGCCAGGAAAGCAAATATGGCACTTATCAATTTACTTGAACGAAGTACGCTTAGACTTCATTCGACTGTGGGACATGTTAAGGGAGCTAAGCTATTTATAGGCCGTGCTGGATTTGATGCATAAAATGTCAGTAGAAAGGGATTTAAGACCCTTCTCCCTATAAAATGCAAAATGAAACTTACGACGGAAGTTTTAAGACCATGTAGATGTAAATGGGTGCAAAATAAGGCCAAATGGTGGAGTGTGATCATCGACATAATGTCCTGGATTGGGAGAAAAGTATAGATTCTGGTCACATCCCCAAATAGACTACAACAAGCTTAGGAAGAATTGAATTCTAAAGTTCTCTCTAACTTTAAACAATTATGATAACAGACCAAATGTTCAAAAGATCTAAAAAATAGAAAAAGTAACGGACCATAATAGGCAGGGGCCTGAAAAATTATATAACAAATGCCAAATAACAATAAAAATTGAAACACAACTTCAAACATTTCGACTGACATATTTCATAAATAACAGATTTAATAGGCACTATAGTTTTATTTTTCATATCCATTAAATAATTTGCATATCCATTAAATAATTTGCACATCCCTTAAATTCTACAAAATAGCAGCCTTACGACATATATAACTGGCCTAACTTTTAAAGAGTTTGACACGATGGGTGTTATGAGAGCGAAGCACCAGTTTTGCCCAACATTAAGTTGGCCATCATGCCATTGTAACATGTTCACTATTCGGCAAACTGTCATTTCACCTTTTTTTGACCCAAGAATGTTTTTTAAAAAATATATCTGTGGCTTTCATAACTTCCTGGTCTATTTGAAATAAGTATATACTATTCACATTTGAGGGAAGATCTTGGTACACCTAGCACAGTACAAAAGTGTTTTGGAGATCTTGATGATCAGTATTAGGAGTGGAGATCTACGCAAAGGGATATTTCAAATATCTTAAAAAAAGTATTTTTATGACATTACTACGTCAACCTTGATTACCACTTAGTTTCAACAAGAATCGATCGACCTAAATGCACTTAGTCGCACTACCAACTGCCCACGAGGCCGATGCATCAAAATCAAAGATGCGGTTGCTGTTTGTTTTTCCAATTCTAAGAATAAACTAGCTATGATACTATGGTCGAAATTGAAGGACTCTGATTCAACTCCCTAAGGAGTGTCATTGGGAGGACAACTATTGTTACTGTTGTCATAGCCGTTATTGCTATACTAGTAAATCAAGAAAGAAAGTACCCGGTAAGGGAGACCAATTTTCATAAACAATTACCGGGACACCAATTTTCATAAACAACAAAAAAATAGAAGCTTAATGCATATACGAGAGATATCCCTATGCGTCATAAGAACTGTGGTTGCATCAGGTCTATTTGACCTTGGTACGTCTCTAGGGGAGAACCTAAAATCCACAAACTAGGATTACAACCTTTTGGCTCATTGATTAGACTTTGGTGACCCACTAATGAGCCCTTGCATGGACTGTGAATCATGGGAAACACTCGGTTGGTTTGATAAAGCAAGTGTGGACCATAGTCTACAGTTGAAAGTGGAGTGCCCCAGCGTTTATTTATTTAATTCTTAGACCACATGGATCATTTTTCCATCTAATGAATTTGATTACGTTTGTTTTAATGATATATGATTTTTAGAATTATTATTTGAAATTTTTTATATCTTTGGATATTTTATTTATCAAATTTGGATTTATAAAAACAGAGATATTGATTTTAAATTGATTTACATATTCAAATTTGATTTTATGGATTTCTAAAAATCATGTAAGTAATTTTAATAATTTTAATATTGCATGGGAGGCCCAATATTAATGTGCCCATTATTGCATGTGAGTGGGGCCCATGAAGTACCACCTATGGTGGCACCCAAAATATTTCAGGAAAAAATTCTTTGAGAATTGAGATAAACAAATTTTTTATTGAGAGGTGCTCAACCTGATTTTCTACTTAGAAAATTGCATTGTGCTGTAAATGTCACTAAAATGAAGACTCGCTAAATGGTATGATTTAGAGATGGAACTAAGCACTGTTTTATATTTTTTAATCTATTTAAATACTCAAAAAGTTTCAGAGATAAATTTTTTATGAGTTGAGAGATAGCATATTTTTATCATTGGATGCTCAAGTTCTATATGCAGAAAATTAAAAGATGTGGCACGAGAAGACACATATTTGGATTCTTAATTATGGAGACCTTTATAGGGCTCATTTAAAAAGATTTTATAGTGTGCCATGAGTATAGTTTATTATAGTAAAACTTCAAAGAGATATAATACAGAGTTTACCATATATGACACTCTATTTTCGATTTGGGAATAACAAAAAGAAGAAGAAATACAATACCTATAGAGCATATTAGTTTCTTCAAGATGAAAGGATACATAGAGAGACTTGGTGGTAGAAAAAAAAACACTAAAGATTAGTTAGATAATCAAATTTGTGATATTTGAAATGATGGGATGCAGAAGAGAATTTATTCACGGTGTGAGACAAGGAGAATCCAAGTGCCGAAGAGATTGACACTTTATGACATGTGAAACTGATAACCAATATATTCTGCATCAGTTGTGTGCTCTTCCAATATCACAAAAGCTTGTCGAACAAGTAAAAACAATGAATCAAGAAATCCTAGGTACCACGCTACATAGTTTTGAGGTATGAAATCTATCCCACATTACATGGTAAAGTCATATAGGGAAAGATGATTCAATAACATTTTATTTTATGTTTAATATGCTTTGGTTATATTCTGGCTAATTGTTTTATGAATATGTATGGAGTGTATGCATATTACGTGATAGGTCCTAACAAATTTGAAAGAGTCGATTTATGAATACCTTGTGTTTTTGTGCCTCCTTGTGCTAGAGTATGAATTACTTAAGGTAGTAATACACTTGGAGGTGTGATTTGATCAAGGGCTTTGAGCTCTAAGAATGAAATACGAGAGATGGGTGTGGCTCATTCACATATGTAAGCACGAAGGGAGTGTCTTGATGAAACTCAGTTTTAGTGACCATCCTGCCAATAATGTCTATAATATGATGTGTTACATGTGATGATGATCTATTGATAAATTCTCCATATTTGCCAAAAATAGAGTATTTTGTCAAGGCTTTAATAACCATTATTTAGTAATGCTTTATTTTGGATAAAATTATAAGATGGTATATATGATTTGTTTTTGTAGCCATGAACTTGACTTGGTAGGAAATTAAATGTGAATATGGTAAAATGATTTATGAAGGCTAAGCATGTATTTTAAAATTAAATTAGATGGTTTGAGAAAAACCTAAGTCTATGAATATGGTTTTGAGAAAACCACATAGTCTTGCAAGGTCCATTAAATCTTTATGAAAATCATTTCAAATTGCCATACTACTACATAACTATTGCTTGTGAATGCATATATATATACCAAGTCAATTTTTTTTTTTTTATTAAAGAGAAAAGCATTATCTCTTGAAGGTATTTATAAAAATGAGAGAAAAACTGTTATACACTGGTTTTTAAATACCCATGTTCCTAGTTATTTAGAATTCTTGATTACCTAAGACCTTGAACCATAGGGAATGTTGTAGGAATGCTATCTTGCTAAGTTTCCTTGACACATGTTGTGTCGATGAGATAACTTGGTTTGTATGGATTTACTACCTAGATGACTAGTGTGGTTGAACCTTTGTGGTTCATGAAGTTTTTGCATATTGTGAAAACAACAGGTATTGAATTACTTATTGCATAGGAATACCAAGAATGTATATATTTCTAAGGACCCAGATCTTCCAGGATTGATGTCGTGAACGGCAATGAGAGGCGTGAAAAAAAAAAGGCCAGTCGTCTTGCATGTAAGAAGTTACTGCCATGCATGAAGAAAAGGGTCAGCCATCGTGCGTGTAAGAGGTTCAGCCGCCATGCGTGTAAGAGGTTACTATCGTGCATGAAGAAGAGGGCCAGCCACCATGCGCGTAAGATTTATCTTTGTGCGTGATGAAGGTAGTCGTCGTGAGTGTTATGTCATAAGTACCTTGTGGCACATGTAAGGTACTTGTACGCCTTGTAAGCCACATGGATGCCACTTGTAGCCCCTGTTTGCCACATGTGAGCCCTTGCTTGCCACTTGCCCTTCTTTGCCTATAAATGAGCCCCTTCACAAACCACCTCTCTCTCTCCCACGTCCTCCCTTCTCACTTAGAAGCTCTACCTCTAGAAGTCTGTGTTGGTGCATGGAAAACTTGACATGTGTGGGGGATTTTGGGATACATTTGAGTACAAGTAAGTGGATCTAACACTCATATTTCCATAGTTTGATTAAAGCATGAAAATTAAGCAAGGTGTAAGTATGATTTTTATGGGTATATGGCTGCATGCTAGTGAAATTGAGTGTGTTTGTGCACAGTTTTTATATAATTATGGTCCTCATTGGCATGATGGATTTAGTATTAAAAATAACTCTGTTGGTTATGAAAATTTGTGGAAGGGTACCCCTGTATGTCTGAATTAAGTTGAAAAAGGTCTTGTGATAATATCCATTTTAGTTTGGAAGTTATTGATTATTTTATAAGGCGTGCAAAAAACTTTGCTGTGAATTTCTAGGGACCTTGCATGTTTTTGTAATGAACTTTTAACTGGCCAAATGGTGTCCAAATAACTTCAAGCAATTTATTTGAAATATGGATATGTCTACTACAAATTTGGTTTTGAAACCATGTCTAAATTCCTCATAATTTAAGAGTTACTCCTCTGTTTGTGTTGATATGTCACTGTTATTAGTTGCAGAAATTTCTAAAACTGTTGCTCATTTTGCATCGAACTTTTAACTGGCTAAATGGTGTCCAAATTATTTCAAACTACTTTCATTTAAAATATGGATGTGTCTACTACAAATTTGGTTTTGTAATCATGTTTAAAT